GTGTTTGGTTCTCTCAACAAGCTCCCTCCGATTTTTCGTCGGTGTTGTCTGCCTCTGAAAACTTGGAGAAAGAGGTCCCCAAGTTTCGTCGGTGATGTTTGCCTCGGGACACTTGGACACTGAGTTCCCCCCGTTCCTGCCTCGCCTGTTTGCCAACTAATGTTGTCTTGATTTTTTCTTGTTTTAGTTCCATCGTGCCGCATAAGTGTTTCATACGCTTGGTGCTTCGGGATTCCATCCCGTGGCGTCGCCTTCTCCCATGGATTTTCGTCGTCACCCACACTTCGTTCTGCTTCGTCTCCATCATCGCCACCTTCGGGCGACGCCTTCATCACAGTAGCGCCCCTTAGTCGTCGTCTTGTTGTGTGAATCTCTACGACTTTCTGTGTTTTATATCTTTGAATGATGCGTATCGCCAGAGAGCCATGGCACAGTTCGTCGACCGCCTCTCTTGCATCAATCGCTTGTGCTTTGCATCCTTGGTCCTCAATAGGTCTTGCCCCTGCCGTCTCCTTATACGAGTTGGGTACCCTGGCACGCTGGCCATCATTCTCCGTGCCTTTGCCTGTCGTTTTTTTCTCCTGCCCTTCGTTAACGTCCTAGATTGCGTTGAGTTTTCCCTTTGTGTCGCGTCCAGTATCAAAGGCCGTATTCGTTCGCAAATTTGTTTGGGTTTTGAGTTTCGTCACCGTATTTTGGACTCGCTCGGGTAGTCACCCTCATTCCTCCAGCGGTGATACGCGTGGGTGCGCGTAAAAGAGTAGTGTGTGGCGTCTGGATATTGATTTTTTTTTCCCTGTCGTTGTCTGTTCGGGATGATAGCGTGCTCTGCCGCAATTCATATTCTTCGTAGCTTTCTCCCTTCAAGCGTTGTCATTGAGATGTCGATGTTCTGTCTCGTGACCGTTCGCATTCTTCATGTCAATGATGGTGTGGGGGATTGATTCGGGATATTGCTACAACTCACCCTACTTTTGGATGTTTTGTGAAGAGTCATATCTTCGATTTATGATCATAAATCATCAGCTAAATCTTACTGTACTGTAGCGTTAGGATTTGAGCATTGATTTGAGTATAGAATCTGCATTATATTCAGGGTGGGCTAGTGTTGAGGAGTGTGGCTGCTAGTATGAATAGGGTACATCTTATTCTTGATAGGATGCGGGTCGGTCAGGAGGTATACCCTTCTGACCCCTACCCCCTTAGAATTGTCTACTCTGTGTACCCCCTGAGATGAAGTTGGATCCCCACTTCATCCCAGACCTTTGCTGATCGTCTCTCAGCAATAACAAGAAACTTTCCCATCTCAACGTGGTCGTGGACAAGCGTGTCAACGACAGAACCTTCATCTATCTCTAGGAGCAAGCTACCGCCCACGGCATCATTCCTTGAAACTGACCAACGAAAATAATCACGCACGTTCCACGTGATGGGGTCGGGGACAGTTTTTCTATGGCGAAGGCTTTCCCTTAGGTAGTGCAAGAGATGGGGACATGACTGAGAATGGTGCGACAAGTCCCCCATCATCTTCTTGCACGAACAACAGACGCTCGGAGACACGAACGACGCTCCTTGATTCTCGATCAATCCGTCGTAACTCACATTTTATATACATACCTAGTCTGGGACCACGGGAATCGACCCCGTCGAGTGTTAGACTAGTACGGACAGAAGAAGGTGCTAGGCAGAGAGAACGGAACGGTTGTTTAATGTGAAGACAACAACAACAACAACAACAACAACAACAACAACAACAACAACAACAACAACAGCAGCAGCAACAACAACATGTTATCCTCCTGACTAACCAGGCAGTTGGCACCACCTGGCACAGCGAAGAAACAAATACTATCAAATGCTGTTGTCGCAGTAGGCCATGTGCGGTAATGCTACGCTTCCCACCTTGGCAAAAACCCAAATCAAACCAGGTATAGCATTTTGTTTGCCACAGCCGTTGCCGTCGCCATCGGTATCCCTCTGTTCATCCTCAGGAAAAGAAACCGCCCAAGCTCGTCTCTCTGCGGCACTCATGCATGTGCGCCCCCACCGCGCAAGCCTGGAGGTGTCTTGAACGGCATGTGCCATCTTTACCATACATTGCGTTCGTCGTGTCAACTATAATACCAACAAGAAGACCAAAAATAGGTTGCAACAATTAACTGCTTTCTGTGTCGGTCAAGCGATGTCGCCGGTTCTTGTGTAGGTTTGGTACGGCGATTATTAGTTTGGATACAGACTAGACGTGTAGTCTACGCCGTAGCCCGCGTAAACTTCCAGACTAAAGTCGTCACAAATAGGTACTGAACGCGTCCACTGTTATACTCCAGTTGGTTCGTGAAGGGGCAGCATTGGCTGCTGAAGCAGGAGCAGGAGCAGTAGAGGAGGGGGTTTCCCCGATCGCGCCGCCGTCACCGTCATCACCGCCACCTTTGAGCCACCTGAGCCAGTGTCAGAAGCGTCATCGCCGATGCCGCCTTCGGCCCCCAAGCTGCCAGAACCAACCGCCTTCACATCGGAGTATCCTGGACTGCCGCCTTCTCCTCTGGTCGGCGCCCCACCAACGACACGATCGTCCCCTGTCATCGTGGTGGCTGGGTCACTCGTTCAATTTTTTTCAGTCCTCTCTTTGGCCAATGCCTGAAGGTGCCCTAGGTCGATAGCGAAGTATGGTAACTTTTGGTCGACTTCGATGAGCTTGGCCTCTGAGTTGGACTCATCGTCCCGGTTCTTGGTGAGTTGCGCCAAGTGCTTCATGTCCAAACCTGTCTTGCTCTTCAAAAGCGGAGCGACGCGGAAGTGGGCTTGGGCGCGATTCGCGCGGGCCCTTGATTCCGCAGGCTGGCAAGCTCCCAAGCCCTTTTCCAGTGATTCCCACCCTCTTGCCCGGGCATAGTTTCGGGCATGCAGTCCCAATTGCTGTAAACCCAGGTGACGATCATCCAGATACCAACGGCCCACAGAATCATGGTCGCGAAAACATACAGAACACACAGAAAGGAGGCTGCTACCATCGCGATCAACAGAGAGAACATAGATCTGATTCCCGAAAAAATCGTCTGAAGTAGCCAAGATGCGGCTTCTCCCTGTCATCGTCGACGTCATCGCCATCGTCGTTGTCATCGTCGCCATCATCAGGCTCGTTGGTGCTGATACCGTCGTCATCCGGCTCGTTCGCTTCTGCTTCCGGTTCCGTTTCCTCTTCCTTCTCTCACATATGCCATAGAGATACACCCCACACACGAGGACACGCGGTTGAACGGAACGGCACATACTTGGATTGCCAAGGAAGAGGATGTTCGTCAAGAACATGTATTCTTGATTTTCAACACGTCGCGAGGTCGCGAGGAAACAACCAATTTCCGAGGCATCCTTCCAGGGGTGAGACGTGGCACACATTCGTATCAGGTACCCGGCTTCGCTTTCGTTACTCAGGAGAAGGTGAGCACGCGTGAGGCTTCGAGGGTGATTGGGGCAACTGTGGTATTTCCATAGATCAGCAGACGAGCGTGTGGTGCGAAGTGTGAGGCCTACGTATAGAGCACACGGAGTGAACAACTCGCCACGAGGCCAATCGGTTGGCCTATAATCGAGGTTCGCCGCAACAAAAATGCGATTGATTGTCGTTTTTCTTGTTCAGACGGAATGTGCTCCGCCTTCGAGGTGGACTACTTGAAAACTGATCTATCTATGTAGACGTTTCACAAAAGTGTTGATACGGAATACCTTGCCGCGAAACGCTACAGGCTCAGGCAACGTCTTGCGCATGGTGCTGACACCAACGACCTTGCCGTGTGCCCTGTATAGTCTAATCCCTTTTCAACACGAAGTCTCCTCACCGCTTTATGAACTAAACAATGCAGGCACGAATCGACCCACGGCACCGACACTATCCACAGGATCGCAGACAACCCGACAGCAGCAACGCCGAATGTGAAGGCGAACTCCAACCTCTGCAGACCACCTTCAAGGGTTTTCCGCTGATGCGATGTTGAGAAGGGTTTCAGCATCTTGGCTTGGGAGCGTCCGCTGTGGTTCTCCGACAGAGTTTCGGATGGAACGAGTGAGGCAGTAGGCCAGGATGAGACATGTCGGTCATCACAGAGTATGTTCGAGAGTGGTTCGCACTTCAGGTGCGGGATAAAAACAGAGGGGGTCGGAGCGCCTTACACATGGGTGAACAAAGACAGCGTTCATATATCGGGGATGTGTGAAGTCAGCCGTGAAAATCGGAGCATGACCACCGTCCGATGATTTCGAAATCGCTTTGTTCTTGATGATTGACTGCATCCCCGTGCAAGCTTCCAACCCGTTCCATTCTCTTATCCCCGTTCGGGAGTGAAACTGAAGCATCTAGTAAGCACCGCCGTGCCAGCTCTCCAATCTGTGTCATGCTTAAAAACAACACGGCGGCCATTGAGTTGATAACACTCGACAGCAACGTGAGGTCTTGGCCGGGCCGGAGGACGAAGATGAGGGGGGGGGAGAGGTAAACAAGCGGCGTTGCCTTCGTTTTCTTCGTAATGGGCCTATGCAATACCCTCACGATGTTGTGCTGTGGACCACACCTGGGAAGAAGCTCGCCTTCTCGGCTTTAACGGCAAAGTGTGATGGCAGCGTGAATTTGTGAACGTGACGTGTGCTTCGAACGCCTGCTTCATACTCCTCGTGCTTCCAGATTTCTTCGAGTGATGTCTTGCCCAAACCTTTCCGAGCACGATATCATACCAGACTGACTCATGGCGGCATGAACACTTGTGTTTTACGGTGTGCTGTGTTGAGGTGGGCACAGTTTGACGTGTGACTGACAACGAATATTGGGCCCCCGATGGCACTGTTGAACGCGCCTCAATAGAACAGGCACCGTTGCCACTGTTCGATGCGTACGTCGGAATTTCAGTAGGACTTTGAAAGGACGCACCCCGTGAGATCTTTCTGATCTCGGTACAACGCGAGAAAAATATGTCAGAATCATCTCAGTCTGATCTGTTGTCGCAGGTTCCTATTCTTAATTCCGCGACAATCTCCGATTGCTTCAGTGTAGATCGTCCGGGTTGACGAAAACCCGTCGATTTCGCGAGAACATGCATACCAACTGGCGTAGAGCGTATTGGATGAGCGCACAGGCGCAAAAGACGGCAAAAGCATTAAAATTAGTAACACAAGAAAACATCGATACATGCGCACACGTTTACGGTGTATTTCGACTGAAGACTCGAACTTACCGTCTAAACCACGCGCCAGCCCTCCACAACATGGTCCCAGCATCCAACAGGATGCCGCAGACGAGCTTGATCAAGTTGAGTGGTGGCGGGGGTCGAGAGCGAGAGACAACACGCGCGCTCTGGTAGATGAAGCACGCCCGCGCGTGGTGGAACTCTTTTTCGGCGTTATCGTACACTTTACCGTGGGTGGTGCTGAGCACAGCGATGAGAAGTTTCAGCAAAACCACGGTCATGGTGACCATGTAGACCTGCGTTGTTGCAAACGGGCGGGGTATTCGCAGACGATTTGAACTGGTTCAGACTCTATCTCAAATCATCGGGCAAGAAATGCTCCCCGGAACTGTCAAAGGCGAAGATACAGATCTGGAGGGTACTTTCAACTCGACAAAATGCCCTTGGAAGTCTGGTGGTGTAGTGCTGGTGGTGTTGGCAATCCGCAAACACGACGGTGGACGGGAGAGGAGGACAGAACACAACCAAAACGCCAACCAGCAACGTTTACCTTCGCAACGGATACGTTATTCGTCGTACAACAGATGTTGCAGTGGGTCATCTATACCAGGGCGACGAGAGGAGCGGGCCAAAAACCAGCATATCTATCGCTTACCACCAACAAGAAAATCCCTGCATTTCGCGCGCCCTCGGGCAGGTTGCATCTGCAGTCGCTGCCAGCCAGCTGGAAGGCCTAATAGTCCGGCCCGCCAAGAGCGAACGTGAACACCGTCACGAACGAATCTCCGAACGTCCCGAAGGCGTCGCGAATGGGGAACGCATCATCATCATCGAAGGTGCACTGAGGCTCTATGTGCTCCCCGCAAGTGTGAAACACCGCATGGAACGCCAGCGCAAAGCTCAGCATGACCATCGCAATGAAAGCCGAAAAGCGCAGAGTGTGGGACATCATTCTCCATATCACCTTTCAGGGGAACGGGATGGGGGGGAGGAACAGCGCAGAGCTCGTTCAGCTTTTCATTATGTATTACGAAGATTGCGAAGCAGGCACAAACCACGCAATGGGATTCGGTTCGTGTGGCAGGAAATATGTGCTCTCAGACCCGCTCTACAGCTACAAGTCCCACAGGAGTACAAAAGAAGTTTGAGTCAAACCTTACAGCGAGTGACGGAATTCTTCCGCCTGAACCCTGGTCGGAGTTTTCCATACATCGGCACAAGGCCATATGTCACTCGGTAGAAACTGCGCGCGCTCCCTGTTATCCGTTCGGAGCAATGCTGCACTTCATTTGGTTCTCGTCGTCATCCAGTGTCGCTTGCAGTTTCTGACTGCGCTACCCCCTGTCCGTATCTGAAGAGGTCGGATCCGAGACGAAACAAGAGAATTCCGTTGCGCGTTGCAGCCATCCTTCCCTCATGAATACGCAGCACAAGGTACGGAACGCAGAGCTGCAACATAGTTGCCATGTAGACCCCCGAGGCAACCAGCTTCTGCAGTAATGATACGCCGAGTTCCAAGGACACCTGTGCAACAGGATTGGCCTCAGATGAAGCGATCGAGATATGTCGTGCAGCAACCTATTCAACGATGACGCCCGACGATACATGCTGTTGTGGGGGACATGCGTTGCCGGTACCCACCGCAGCGAACTCCACGGAAAAAAAAGAGCGTTTGAATCCACTTCCTCAAAGTTCATTTCACTATTGTTTCCCACCTGCGTCATCGGTCCTAAAGTGGCGTCGATCTGCGAGAGCACGAGCAGCCTCGAGAACAGCCGAGGTGCGCTGAGGGCGTAGAAGAACCGTGCGTGGAAGAGGAAGAACTTGTCGTCGAGAGTTGTCACCCGAAAGATGAAGGCGACCAGGATGCAACCGATGGTCGGCGTGTCCAAGAATTTCCAGGTGTCGTAGAAGACGTTCCTATTTCGGGGGTCAACACACAATCGAAGGAAGATCCGGAGGAGCTGGTCAAGCGCGGCACCAACCAACCCACATGGTGCGTGTAGACCACTCACACTACAGAAGAAAGGTAGAGTCCTGTGTGCAAATCAACACAAATGTAGAATCGTTCCAAAGCAGCTGCAAGCGTTTAGATGAACTCCTGACACCCCGACGGTGGACGAAACGTGTCGCGGATACAACGAGGCGATATCATGGGAAGGGGCTTCGCCCGGATACCGACGGGTTCGACCTAATATATTTTCGGGGTGACGACCATGCGCCGGGGGGTTCGTGGATCGTTTGGCACTGTTGCGGGTTCTGGGACTCCGGAGTTTATAGCCAGAATGGCTACATGCCAACGCAAGCGCTCAAACCCGAACAGTTCAGCAGCACTTCACCACGTAAACGTTGACACTATTCGATTGAACCGATTTCTAGTCCCCGGACGGCTGATCCGAGGAGATGAGAGAGATTGCTCTGAACCCGCCCTCGTGTTGTCTTCGTTCTTCGGAACCTGCCGCTTCGGAGGCTTGTGCCTGCGGGCGGGCACACCGTTCCGAAACTCCAGTATCTCCCGCCACAGGAGGCCCTGTGGAAGCCACGCCCACGTAGCATGAGGTTCTGCCGAAATTAGACAGCGCTGGTGAGAAAGAACTATTTTTCAACTTTTGATTCGTTTTCCCATGGAACCACAGCACTCCACGGTTCGCGAATGTTCCAGTTTCGACACCGTCGGAGTCCACTCGTACGTCGCTAAGATGCCGTACATGCAATAGGGAAACTGTCCTCAACCAAATCGTATTCGAATACGGTACTGCTGTACGGAGATTGACGCGATTTCTCACCGCGGCGAAGACGTAGTACTGAAGGTGCGTTCGTCTCATGGAATGTATTCGTGATCCTTCAGCAGAACCGAGAAACAAAACAGGACCAGCATCACCCTGCATGTTGCAAGCAGGGTATTTCCAACCGGCGTGGTTTTCAACCATAGTTACTTAATGAGCATATTCGCCAACGACGAAAGCAAAGCAACTCTTTGCCACACGTCCACTCATTGCAATCATGAGGTCTTGCGAAGCTGTTTTCGCGTAGATTCGGCCTCTCTTAAAATTTTGAACAGTCACACACAACTAGCTTCCAATAGCATGCGTTTCTCCCATGTAAAAGTATTCTTCTACCTACGCTGTCCAGTCCCGATGAGAGATGTGACGGAATAGCGACTCAAAAATAGCTGCAAATCTCGAAGGCGAACCGAATATCCGGGACCTTGTAGAACGTGTGTGGCTTTCCTTGGATGCCCGCCAACGAGAACTGCAGCCCGGGAGGCATGGTGCTGTGTGGAATTCTCCGCTGGTTGGTCGGCTTCTGCCGACAGGCCGGTGCCTGAGCGTTGGTTGTTGCCGACACGGGCTGTACCGGAGGAACAGGCATTGGAGGAGTCGGTGCTTGAGAAGGCTACGCTTCCGTGGCTGACTTGCCCTTCGCCTTAAACACTCTCGACGGAAAATTGCACCTGCGCTTTGGGTCTCTGTGATCCCAACCCTGGAGAAGTCTGAACAACGAGCATAAGGCGCAAAGGGAACCTAGCAAACACGGGTGCTTTGCAGATTCTATCAAGTAACCCGCCGCTGAGGCAAAGCTGTTTGACATATGTTATCTCTGGCGTTCTTGCGGATTGATTCAACAGGAACACCAATAATGGACTTCGACCCCATGACGATCAGCAACCGCTGACGTTGTAGTGAGAGACAAGAGTAAGTCAATTTCAAAACTTAAAGGTACATTTGAAAATTCAAACGGTTCACATCGGCAAAGGCTTACCTATAGGTTGGTTCAATGATGTTTTCTCTTCCAACGATGTCAATCTGGTAATGACAGTAGTCATCAATCTAGCCTCGAGCAACAGGCCACGGCGTGAAATCCTCGTTTCGAGCTCGTCGATCTCTGAGTATAAGTTCCTAGCACTGGAGTTGTGCTTTTGCTGGCCGAATTCTGCACCTAAGGTGTGCAATCGTCGCGCGTTGTCCTATTGTCGGTTTCAAACCCGTTTGGGTGATAGACGACCACCGCGGCCTACACCAGAAGCAGGAGGGATATCGCACTAACGTCAAGAGGAAGGTCATGGAGATGAATCCTTGCTTCTGGGCAGGGGAGTGTTCGCCTTCCTGATTTGCAGTTGGCGGCTTGACTGGAGTCGAGAGGATCTCCGACAGCCCGTATGTCTCGAAGTCGTCGTACTTGTAGAGGCCTCGTGAGAAGCACTTGTCATGAACACGACCAGAGTATTGCGACAAGAAAAAGCAACCGGGTGCCCAAACAGGTGGAAGGTTTCAGAGCATACAAACCGCAACTGTGGACCATGCGACAACAACGGCAAGAGTCGGATCGAATTTGACCAGGCCAAACACCCACTAGAACAACGTGAAGATACAGTAGCATCGTAGGTTGTAGCGAGTTTCACGCGGAATAGCCGCTCAAACCCACCTAGGAAGCAGCGCTGTGGTACTAACGAATACTTCACGTGAGTTACACACAATCCGGAATACAAGGTGCTTTGAACCGCTTGGAACCGATGTACGCGAACCTCTTTGGAAGACGTTTTCCCTCCTGGTGGGAGGCTTTCGCAATGGAGGCGGCTGGAACATTGGAATTGTTCTTGTTATTATGGGTTTGGGGAGACCGATTCATCTGGGGAAGGGAGTTTATCGTGAATTATAGTCTATGCTGTTGAACTACATACAGTAGTCTCTGGTCTTGAAATAATAGCGCAAGGAAATATCAGAATCCACCTTTCGTCGGGTGCAAAACGCGTAAGTCTACGTGGGTTCGTACGAACTTTTACCTTCGTTGACAATCGGCTGGAATGGGTTCCGCGATGTCCAGTGGGGGAGTGTCCCGGTGAATTTGACGTGCACATAGTCTCGCACCAGTGGAGAGTTGACCATATCCAAGCCTTTGGAGCCTCGATCCAAGACCCGGCGTAAAGGGTCGATGTAATCTGGTTCCTTGTACCTACCCCGAGAGCGATGCGTTTCCGCGGGAAATGTAAGCATTCTGCGCGGCCTGCCTCCACGCGTGCGGAACAGCAGCGGGGAAAGAAACGTGTCATCAGCACAAGTCCTCGTGGACGACGTAGGCACTGGGCTGATTTGCTCCATCCGGGTACTCCACAGCTGGGGATTTCGATGGTGGTTGAAACGATCGTCCACGCTTCATGGCGGTTGCGGTCAACCTCGGCAGTTTCCGGTGTGGTTCGTGACAGTTGCATCATGAGACTGTAATGGACCAGCTAACACCACACATTCACAAATCCGATGGCTGAGACGTTCTGGGTGAATTACACGCATGACCCAGGCCTACTTCACAAGCCCTGCTCACTGGTTCTCGGCGGCAACGTCTCCAAGCAAGACGCGCGGCTCAAGGATTCATTGCTGCCGAACCGCACAAGACACACGAAACCAGAGTAGGGCCGACAGTTGCAATGGTCGCGGTTGACTGAAACACTGGAATAAGGGTGATGTCGAGCGTCCTTGTAAATAGTGACAGGGCGAGTTGTTCGCGAAAAACTCAAGGACTCGCTCACGGCTTCTCTCGGCTCGAGGCGGTCGGGATTCCACGGACACACAATAGCTGGAACTGCTGCCCTTAGGCGTTACTGGGTGAAATAAGGGAAAGCGGTTGTACCGGTGCGACAAATGGGGTGATCTTTCCTATTTCCTTCCAAAACTGGAGACCAGAGATGACTAGGACCAAAAGGCGGGAACTGGGAAACGTTGGTGCCGCAAGGGTCCACGTAGTAAGGAGGCGACCCAGAGAGCAAGGTAGCACATGATGCATTGCGCGCATACGACACCCGGTTGTACGGTCATAAATCAAGATTCTCCGGCACCAGCCTTCCTGCCACGATGGTTTTTGGTCCCGTTGGTGCACCCCTTGATGACGTATCCATTCACACACTGCGGCTGATCGGCGACGTAGCAATCGGCCGTTCGTCCTTCTACGCCAATATGTGCCCGAACGCCACAGGCATGACGGCCTGCGATATGCAACGCTCGTGTTCGTACCTGGAGTGAGACGTAACCCGTTTGTTAGCCACTCTACCCGTATTTGTCGCTACAATCCGACTTTCCGACAACGCCTAGACTTGAGTACCAATTGGCTCATTCAGGAGGCTGTAAGGACCTCTAGCGGAAAACGTGGACCCGGTCTCGTTGTTGTTGATTTTTTTCTTGTCCCGGCGGGGTCTCTGCGTCTACCAATTGTGCACGAATATCTAGCTTCTTGCGGCCAAGCGCCTCCACAATAGACAGACAAGGATATTCTTGGGCGGAATGCCTTTCGAAACCACGTTTCAATGCACCCATGTTTTCTCAGTGTCATGAGGCTGTGACTGCCAAATAGCGAATAGTGTTGGCGAGAGTTCGACACCAACATGTCGAAAGCAAATGAACGTACCACGGCGATGAAGCCTGCGAGGTTGCCGAGCCTGTGATGCTTCCCTTGGTGAAACCCCTCGCCGAAGGTGATCGGCTGGTGGCCGCCAATTAGCTCCGTTCCCATACCTCGGACCGGTGTGGGAGCTTGTCCAAGAGCTGCTCGTTGGGAAACCGAGACGCCACGGGGTACGTTTAGTACCAGGCGGGGTGATTTGATGGACTCGCCTATTTACACCCTCGTTCCTACTGGTCACCGTCTCTAGTATGCTATTGTGAAATTACACGACGGAAAAAGCAACAACATACGAGAGCGTACTGGTGCACAATGCACCAGGCAAGCGTCCACCGTTGGCAAGCTCGCGCATGTGAAACGCTAGAGCAGTACTCCGGGATAATTGTCGATGGGGCGCATCGGTGAATGAATATCGTTCAAGCCGACGCTAGACTTGCGACGATTCGGTGCAGTCATGACCAGTACCAGTGTCAGGGAAACGTGCCGTTGTGCCATCGAAGTTTCAGGTTCTCGGTGTCAACCAAAACCAGGGATGGAGGTATTCAGCAACCGAACATGCCTCCTTGGTGAAATCGTCGATGATGCTTTGGAGACGTCGGAGGCCCAGTTGGTGCATCGGGTGGTCAACTTCGCTTGTCCTCAGGGTCCTCGACAGTCCAGCTCCCATCGCGAAGGGGTTGCTGTGGGATGGTGATCGATGAGGTCAATACTTAGTTAACCAAGCTTGGTACTCGAGCTTCTAGTTTGTAGAACGGGTTGTAGGGTCGGCATTGAGCGGCATGGTAGCCGCTCCCAATTTCTGTCTCGATTTTTCGGCAACGGCAAAGTGTGCTGGAGAATAAGGGTGGCTGGACACTCACCGTCGGGAGTGCGAAAGTACAAGTCGATGGCGCTGAGGGACCCTTCCCTTCTTGCGAGATATTGGCTGTGACCGCGACTTACTCAATCCGGAGAAAGTACGTTCTTCAGGTATAGCCGAAGTCCATGCAGCACGTACCTCCCGCGAGAACCCATCCCATCATTTTTTTTTTTGCCTTCCGACAATTGCAGATGTACCTCAGAAAACTTTCACTTAATGTCTCATACTCTACATGAATATTAAACCAATACGAAGTACAACAACATATGTAGGACATATTTCTACTGTCATTTACATCGTAAAAATATCTCCTCTTCAACTTGAAATAAAACCAATGACAATCCTCATGGTATCCTATATGCGTTCGTAAGCTTGCTAAAATACTACTGCGTTGATGTCCTCTTGTAAAAGCTGAAATCCAACAAATGCTTTGATCCATGCTACATCTCCGTGTTGGAAAAGCCCTTTCATCTCCGTTCATGACAACATCTTACCCNCAACTTCAAACGAAAACGCGTTCTACGATGCGTCTACACTCCATCCCCATATCATTGGCGTTGACTGGTCCGAGGTCGATCTTGTTCGCCTGTTTTCGGCGTCTTGACGCCCGCGCAATGCGAGCTTGTACCTCTGCACTCGCCGAGATATGGCCACCTGTGTAGCCACCGAAACGATCTGAAGAAGTCGTTCCTTGAAGACTCCTTTCAGAGCCATCGTTCCTCCGTCCCTTCCTCCCACGGCATGTGTCGCAAGTTCATCGATGAACTCGTAACCCTCCTCTCCATCCCATCATTGTTGTATGTCGATTTCACCCGTCCGTATCCCAATGTGTTGTGTGGTTGATTTGTGGTCTAGCAACTCGGGCCTGCCGGTGCCTGTGTGAGTTGGTCGCGACAACTCGAGGAGTCCGAATTTATTTCTAGCCGTTCAACGAGTTCGCAAGGTCGTTGTGAGATATTTGGCACAACCGAGTCTCGAGTCCATACATGAAGCAAACGTTGACAGCGTTCCAGAAACAAGAGACATCCCCAGTCTCACAGAAGAAGAAAACACGCCAAGCTTCTCGATAAAATGCGAGGAACTATGGCGTTCGGTTGGTTTGTGTAAATATTTGCCGCGTCTCACTCACCTGGCGTTGGTGACCGTAGCAAAAATCGTATCGATGTCCTTATCGTGATCTCCGATATTTCCTGAAGGGCAGGGATGTGGTGCTCATGGAGAGGGAATCCTTCCTGAACCAAGTCCCTGAAATCATCCCAGGCCGCGAGATAGTCGCCCGGATTGTTTTTCTTTACGCCGCTATGTGCTGTAGCCTCGATGCGGTATGGACTACTATTTTAGCGGGTAATAAAGCGAACCGCGAGCAAAGCTTAGACCCTAGCCTATGGCTTCAAGATATGAGCAGTATAGAACCACTAAGGTACTGCAGGTCATTGCTCAAACTGTTGGTCATGGGTTGTTGAGCCAAAAATCGACTACACACCGGGTATTAGCCATCATCCAACCAAGCTACATCGCAAACATTGCACGCATGGTAAGCAGACTTTCACAGATAAAGTGTTTCTCTGATATCAGACAGCAGCCAACTTCACCGGTACGCCGAAAGAAAGATCACGACGATGCATTTGTGCCGCCCTTCGTTGTGGTTCAACAACGATGTGACGTTCTGTCAACAGGGGTTGGTCTCCTCTACCGAGTTACTCGTGTATCCCCATTGTAGTTGATGAAAGTCTTGTTCGGGGCGGGAAGCCCCCTGCGGAGGCAGAAAAACCTCGCCTAGGATACTCCTCCCCAAGTTCTGATCTGGTCGCATTTGGTATTGTATATGAACAGGTACACGCTTCCCAGATGTCTTCCCAAAAGTTGCATCATGGTCGAATCTTATCCTGCAAATGTACAACGCGATATATGACTCCATTCGGCTTTACCTGAGGCTCCTGGAGGTACCGCGCTTAGCTGCCTCCTTAACTGCCCTCCTGGAATAGCCCTTGAACTCGCCTCTCCAAGACGGCAGCGGGTTTTTCCGAAGAGGGCGAGAAACGCGGCTGGACGTCGCGTCAAGGCTGCAGAGCTGCGCGCGTTGGTACGCCTGCACGTCGACAGGAGTGTCTCGAAGCTACTATGAGCATAACTGATAACATACAGGACGTCTGACCAGAGTTGGGATACCTCGGACAGATGTACTTGTTGCTGTGCATCCACCAACACTGCGTGTACTGGGTCATTTGGAGAGAGCGGTAAATGCTTCCGCATGATGTTTTATTTGCCACCCGATCATACGATACTGAAGCGAAATCGACTCAGGTAAAAAAAAAGGTTCATGCTGTAGTGTGTCATCCCACTTGTCTTGGACGTCGATGTATCTTTTTTGTATGGTTCAACGCATGACCAGTAAAAGCCATCAAGTGGTGCATTCCAAGTGTCGACACCATGAACGTCTTTCCAAATGCATTTGTTCTCGGATGGACGCCTCCCCCCCACACGTACTCCGTCACGGTTGCCGTACACAGTACGGGCCCGAACATGAGAAACGCCGAAGTCAGGTCGAGGCTCAGTTTTCTTATTTGGTCGCCAATGTCGAGCACAGGTTGTTTCAAGATGGAATATTGAGTTTGGTATAGAATCCACTACTACTAAGGTGCGTTTCATACCCCAATTTTCTTTTATTATTCCCCGTGAAAATGTGAGCCTCTGGGTCTTAGCAACATTTTTTATTTTTCTTAACTGCGGCCGCCCACCCCTGCCACCAGAATCACACTACCGTCTTGGCAGTATTAGGTCAAACAGGCATGATTCGGATATATATTATATCAGGGATACGGAAGAAAGCTAGAAATATAGACATGTGAAGTTTTTTGCGTCTTTGCGGACATGTCCCACCGCCATCTCGCCAATAAACGCGACGGAAGCACGCGCTTGATGCTGTATGGGCAATTATCTCAGCATGTATGTGTGTGCTTTCATCTGCCAAAAGCCGTTTATTGTTTTTCTTTCGAATTGCCTTTTTGCATTAATGTTTTCTC